TCCGAACCAGTGGTAAATAAAATAATGACTTTCAATAAGTATTATGTAATAATCCATATTGAATAAAAATCATTCTATTCTATTCTATTCTATTCTTAAATTAGAGAAAAATATTAGTAGCAAAATGCGCTAATATTTAACTTATTAAATATATTAAATAATGGTTTTTTTCATAAACTATCTCTTCTCTACATGGTATATAAAAAGTCGCTTCCTGCCATCTGTACGCTTAGATCTTTTAAACTTCGTAACGGATTTGAAGCAGTTTTCACGGCACCAACAAGAGCGGCGGCCGCCGCCGTCTTCCTACGTACTCATTAGGGACACACAGCTCAGCTATCTGTAAAATACCTGGGTTATGTATTTTACCACGGATCACTTTTAGTAAGTAAGTGGCGAGAGCAACTTCCCTTCTTATTTCTAGTTTATAATAGCCTATCATGCCTAGTATAAATAAAGTAGGGTACAAAAGTGGATAACCCGGGTACACACCATACTGTTTTAAATACATAAATCTCACAAATTTGTTCTGAAATAAAATAAATAAATAAAAAAATAAATCTTCTGTTTGTGTGTATGTGACTGAACTCTTAAACGGCTGGATCGATTTTGATGAAATTTTGTGGGTGTGATTAAGTTGATTAGAGAATGGTTTAGATTCACAATTGGATGCAGTAGGTGGCGTTGTTGTCGAGATCCAAAAATCAACCGTGCGAAGCCGGGGCGGATCGCTAGTTAATTTTATTAAATAAGGGTTTTTTATAAACTAGAAATATTAGTTTCTATGATTTAGTTTTTCTTAGATTGATTTGCTTTTATGTTAACCTAGAAAAAAATGTGGTTAAATTATTATTTACTTAGTGCTTCGTCAGTTGGTCAGTGGATATACGTGTTAACACAATTACAGATGAGTCAGATGACTGAAGCAATTAATCAACGAAGCTATTCTACCAAAAGTATTCACTTATCCCTTAGATGATCTCTATTGACATTCACTAATAAACTGTTGTTATTGTTTACGAGATATTAATAGAAAGTGTGTTATCCTTTTATTGCTTTTATATATATTTATATATGTCATTGTATGTATTTTATGTTTATGTTATGTATGTAACTTCATCGCAAGATCCCATTTCTAAAGTGTTAAAAATATTAAAAGTGTGAGAGCGGATGTTCTATTTCCTCTCTTGTTTACGCAATTAATAATTATCAATAATATGAAAGCATAACGCACTATACATTCAGTATAGAGCAACTACAGTTCGACTACACCGTAACACGTCCCCGTCACAATCACACCAGCGTAACGTGAGGGACGTCATTACATGAAATACCAAAGCATGCAAACCAACAGCAACACTACACATCTCAGTGTAACACAGGACAGCCTACACCAGAAGGCAACTACGGACAGAACCACTACACGAGCTTAGCACTACTACTACGTAGAATGACTTACACTGAACTTTATACACAAACGAGTGGGGGTTTCCTGATCTACCCTCAATTGTACACCTCCACCATACACCGCTACCTTAATTTTAATATATATATATATATATATATATATATATATATCTTTTATATATTAAAATTACGTGTCACGTTGTTTGTCCGCGATAGACTCCTAAACTACTGAACTGATTTCAATGAAATTTTGCACACTGTGTGCACTTTGGTCCAACTTGAGAGATAGGATAGTTTTTATCCCGCTAAATGACACTTAAATTTTTTTATTGCAAATTTAAGGATTTTTATAGGAAGTCTCGTTGGAAAGGGCATAACAACGTCTGCCTGGCGAGCTAGTATATACGTGGTAGAACCATGCTGCAGCTATATTAGTAGTATAGCTGCAGCTTTATTACTAGTATAGTTGTAGCACGAATGGGTCGGCTCGACCGGAAAAGGTCCACGCTCTCACAGAATACCAGCATAAAATGGCAGCTTAACACTGCAGTGTTTCGTATGGTGAGTGTAGAGAAAAGGAGAAGCTTTTTACTGGAAAAAACACATTCAAACTTAGTCCTCACGGGAGACAACGCATCTGCATTTTGAGTCTTTATTGAGGATAGGTGTAGATTTCTATGGGTCACAGCAACCACTTACGATTAGGTGGACTGTGTGCTCGTTTTTCACCCTATCCTATATATATAAATGTCATAGTTTTAAATGTCAAATACTTCCTCTATGGGCCAATCTATGGGGAAGCTTATGTTCGGCAGGGGAGTTTGTAAGCAGTAATGAAAGAACTGATTTTTTTGCACGTTTTCAGGGTTCCGTAGTTACACAACAAGGAACCCTTATAGTTTCGTCATGTTCATGTTTATGTCCGTCCTTCCGTCCGCGATTTTACTTAGAGACCCTAGGTGCTACAAATCTGTAATTTGGCATAGCTATAGATATTATTCACGCTTAAAAACTGTGAAATAAAATCTTAAAAAGGATTTTTATTTTGGGTACCTCAAATACAAGTAAATGGAGGATGATTTTTTTTCACCCGTCTATTCCATCGTGTGGGATATCGTTGGAGTCGTTGAAAATAAGTCCTTCATTTACCAGTTTCCTATTTGGGCCCATTTTTAGTGGTTATAGCCGTCAAATCGCGAACTCACTTATTATGCTCATTATCAAGAAAGCCCACGTATTGTGGCAACTATGGAACCCTACCTCTATATTGTGCATGGCCCGACACGCACTTGGCCAGTTTCTTTATCATGTTCTTGCACTATTAGTCGAATTTGAGCTGTATTCAAAATTTCAAGTTTTCAGCACATCGGGACGTTAGTTTTTTTTTTTATAGGAGAGGGGGCAAACGAGCTTGCGGCTCACCTGATGGTAAATGACTACCGCCGCCTATAACAAATGCAACACCAGGGGAATTGCAGATGCGTTGCCGGCCTTTTAACAAGGAGTAGGCTTTTTCTCTAAGTCGTATCGGTCCGGAAAAATCGCTGGTGGTAATCAATTCAACAAGGAAGTTGTGCGAGGGAGAAAACTTCTTCTAAATCGCACAGTGGTGGACCGCCAATCATCCAGATGGTATGGGTGGTATCGCGAGTTTTGTCGTGATGTGCGGTGGTGAAATTGAGCAGCTGGAATTAGTCCGACAATTCCTCAGAGCACTTCCCGTGATAGATGCGATAAAATACGCAAAGAGATGCAACATCTCTACGCAGTGCCAGTGAGTCAAGCCGATCGGAAAGAACTCGCTTGTGATTGATTCGAACCGCCCTGCGCTGGATGCGGTCAAGTGGAAGGAGCTGGCACTGGGGAGCCCCTGCCCAGAGATGGGAACAGTATTCCATGTGAGGCCGAACCTGCGCCTTGTAAAGTTGCAGGCGATGTGCTGCCATGAAATACTGTCCTGCTCTGCTGAGCACGCCAAGCTTTTAAAAAGCTGTTAAAAAGTAATTACTAAATTTCATCCAAAACGACAGTCAGACAAGAAAGTCACAATAAAAATTTGGTAAAATGAATCGAAATGTATCCATATTGATTTTATGAATAAAAACACGAAATAAAATTTAAAAAGTCCAAAGCCAAATAAAATTTATCTACAAAAAAAGAAATGGTTTCGCTTTCCTTTTTGGTACAGCAAAGGATTTTTGTACCTATACAGAATATATAATATATACAGATATATATTCTATATTATATTGCTATTTTAGCGTAATGTATCAAAAAATGTAAAAATAAAAATAAAATGTTATGACTATGTCTCATGATTTATTTAATAAAAAATTTGGAGTATATTCGTTGGATTTCCTCTGTAATTTTTATTTATTATTTTAAAAGGGACGAAAAATTTTCCCTTGCCCTATGCTCTTGTATTGGTAATATATTAGGCATGAGATATCAGAAATACTGATAATTTTAGGTGTGGCCGGCCTTAGGCCTTGCCAGTCGTTGACGTCCCACGGTACACCGATAGCAATTAAATAATAAAATATATTTATAAAATAAGATATTTTTCCTTAACTTCAGCTATTACATTTAGTTACCAACTAAATTTCGTAGTGTGGAGGCGTTAAAAGATAATCCATCACTCCATATTATCCCGTGGGTGGCGACTGGCGACTGTGGAAAATGCTTATAAAATCTTATGACTTATGATTTTCTTCCGTAGTTGTTAATTTTGTTTGCGGCTAAATGTCAGTACTTTTCTACCCTCGTGTGTGATATGCACAAATCTGCCTTAGCGGTATAGCTTGTAAATTAAGCCTATGTGCCAGACTTAGTCAAAGGCTTTCGATAAGTTGAAAAACGGTGCACCAGTGAAGGCTTGGCGTTTTGTGGTCTTAGTGGCATTATATAGTATGTGATCCGTGAGGTGGTGCACTTGGTGAACACTAAAGTGTTTGGTTCGAAAAGTAAGCTAGTGTTGCGCTCGTAGATTTTCCCTATTGAATTGAAGAGACTTATGGGCTCCAGTCCTAGTTTGGTTGATACCGCTTAGGAATGCAGATAATGTATCTTATTCTTCACTCTAATCATTTGTGAATGTGCGGTTGGATAGTGGTCTCTCACAGGGTGAAATGGCTGATGAGTTATTTGATTTAACGAAAGATTTTACAAAGATGCTCTTAGCGCTTTTCTAATTCTGCGTTCGTTAACCTATAAAGAATTAATTCAATAAAGAAGCAACTACGCAGGCGATGTGAAACGTTTTCATACATATATAGTGTTTAGGAACGTGCATTATAGTAACGACATATCAATAAACGCGATGCCGATATTTATGCACATGCCGATGCTAATTGAACGCCGATACGAAGAGCCGCCAACGTTCCCGTGCATAGGATCTCAAAGCGGTGATTTTTGAGACCGCACCCGAATTTTGACATCGATTAGATACGAGCGGCGCATTGTATTCCAGTAATACGGTTACGAAACTATAAAATATTGTGGAGTTAAGTTACGTTACATAGGTATTTGAGTTGCAAATTGTCCACTCGCCGTTGCGCGTTTATACTTCGTATAACCGTTCAGTACTTCAGTTCAGTACCGCGCCGACCGTCGCGTAGAACGGAACGTACGCGACTTGATCATATAAAACGTCTCGCGATCCCTGTGCACCTGTGCCCTGTGTTATTACTCCGAGGAGTACGTAAACATACCGATTGCCGGCTCGAGTGCTAGTGGGGCTCGAAGCGAAGTGAGAACGGGAGCTAGCGTCATTCGTGCGTATTGAGAAAAAAAAACGCTTTTACGAGTGACAGTTGCATTCTGCAGGTGCTTGCTTGTATATTTATTAATTGAAAAGTGATTGTATATCGGCCACGGCCGCGGCTCACATGTCCGGCCCAGTTTTCACGATTATTGCCTCCGTCTCAGAATTCCACCAGTTGCTTTGTTTGTTGTTAAATTCGGCTCCGATGGGGCAGCGTTTAGAACTCTGAGGCTTTCTCCGAACTTGTTGATTAAAAATTATTGATGTGACGGACCATTGATAGATGCTACCTTACTTCTGTTTAGTTGCATTTAATTAAACAAAAGTACCGTCCATTCTCACATTGTTTGTAGGCAGTTTTATTTAGTGATCTTGTTGGCATAAATTTTTTGGGAAAATTTTAATGTAAACCTAATTCAGTAAACGATTTGGTCAATGGAATTTGATTAACAGCTAATTTAGTATTAAAACAATGAAGGATAAAAATTGCTTACAAAACATAATGCTCGATCAATAATATCATCAATTGAAATCTAGCACGTGAAAATTGATTTGTGGTTTATAACGTGACGTTTTATTGTAGCAAGAGCTCAACTGCGGTTTTCGTTAAAATTATTCTTAATATCGAGTGTCTTTTAACTGAATATTAATAATAAATCCTTTTCATAAAATTGCGGAGGCATATTTTAATTATCAACTTTGTTGATTTTCACCCAATATTTTTATCACGTCTGCCTGTAGTTCGTGACTGTTTTTCTAAATATATTTTCCGTAGCTTTTTCATCTATAAAGTTTAACTCTAGCAACGTAAATATCAGCAGTAATTTAAATTTTACAAGCTGACCAAAGAAAATTGAGATAACTAGTAAAATATTCGACATTAAAGCACTATTGAATTTTAATCAACGTAAGACAATTTATTTATAAGTAATATTTTAGAGAACAGAGGTCTTGAAGTCCTTCCGATCTCTGCTGAGGTGCTGAATAAAAAAAATCCCGGGGTGCTTAACAATCTAAACGACGAAATAAAAAAAAGTTAAGAATGAACGCGTTAAAATTCATAAAATTAGTTTCGATGATTTTATATGTAGCTGTGCATGATTACCGTTCACGTCGTTTGTTTTCTGACAGGTCAATAATAATTTAAATGCTTAGATGTAATTATGTGAAGATATTTCCCGCGGTGAAGGGACCGTCGGAACAGCGCTCGGAGATCGTCTAAACCGGTTTCGACATTAAAAAGTCACGGATCCTTTTCCAGTTCTATGAAATGACCTCTTTCGATGTCCTAACTTATATTTGCTAGCTTTAATCTGTTTTGTTTATTACGTCTCGATTAATTATAGCGCATAAAGCTCTCAGTTTTTCTATTTATTTAGTTAATATAGTTAAATATTTAAACGTTCTATATTTCCTTGACCTGTATGTATCCTATGTCTGTATATGTATAAACGTAAGGAAATGTTGGTATTCTACTCAGTTTTCACCCACTTCTAGACGTCTGAATAATCTGAAATTTCGCAAAGAATTACGAACCGACCGACGATAGGTATAATAATAATTTTGTGACTACGACCTAGTATCTCAATAGAATCATCACATTAAATTGTTTAAGTTTTTTTAAAGTAATATTATTTATATAGCATTTGAATTGAGTTTGATCGAGGTTCAATTTATGCTTTGTGGCAATATGTTAGTTGATGTGCTTATGAGGTACTTAGCTCTTATTTAACAATCTTGAGGTGATGTTTCAGATTAAGATACGAGTACTACAATAGCCTTTGTAATTGTACAACTACCTATCACTCTAATAATTTAGTTTGATCTAAAATTTTACGATTTTTTTTAAGCATAGCTAACATGCCGTTATAATCGTTATGTAACAAGCCACGGGTTCTCGTTTAGAATTTCAGCTACTGTAAGCAATTCTGTTTAAGTAATTTCTAGCACCATTTATAACTTGGATGGTATCGAGACGATCTTGTTGTCGGCTTTTGGCAGATAAGGAAGATTTTTTTTATCTCCAAAACTAATTTTTTACGGAATCTATCCCGCTTAATTTAACTTTTTAATTCCCGACGTTTCGGGTGCTTTACAGCACCCATGGTCACGAGGGGGGGGGGGGGGCATGGGTGCTGACCCATTCTGCTGATAGATTTATTTTTATTTATTATATATATAGATTAGATTTTAATCGCAATCTGTTTATATCGCCTGATTGATTTCGATTCATCATCATCATCATTACAGCGCTTCTACAAGTCCACTGCTGAATATAGGCCTGCCCCAAAGAATGCCACAAAGCACGGTCCTTAAGCCACCTGCCTCCATCAGCTTCCTGCATGTCTTACAAGGTCGTCACTCCATATATTGGGGGGTCGCCCTACATTTCGCCTACCGGTACGAGGCTGCCATTCTAGAACCTTTTTTCCCCATCCGTTGTAGGTTCTTCGAGCTATATGGCCGGCCCATTGCCGCTTCAGCTGATTTATTTCAACTATAATTATCATCAATTAAAATAATATAATGGTATATGCATTACTGTCTGGTAATAATATTTTTTTTAATTTAATATAATATTCTAACCCTGTTTTATTTTCTATTAATTCGACGACTGGTAACGTAGCGTTAGTACATAATAATTAGAAAAAAACGACATATTTACTTTATGTAATCAAGTATTTTTTTCAAGTACGGCTTCATAGCTTGACGTCAAAGTACTGAAGTAGGTAATATGTCAACAGATATTATGGTTTAAGACGAAACTAGAACTGGGCAACCGACGATAATATTATAGTGCAAACGATGTTTACACTTTATATAATATTAGAAACTGATAAACTAAATTAGCTATTTCACGCTAGTCAATGGAAATAATTTTTAAGAGTTGTGAAAACAAACGTTTCTTTATAAATTGTACTCGTATGAGCATATAGAGTAATGACGTCATAGTTTTATTATTTTATTGTATGTATGCTTTTAAACGTTAAAAATTTAATTAACCTTAAAATGGAAATTCTTAAGATACTACTAAAAGTAGCTAAGTAGTAAGTACTTAAAATTAAAATATGATATCCTAATAGATTATTGTATAGTTACAGTGGTGTCTACAACCCAATTGCATTTTTGTCAATCGACTCATGCGTTTGTACTTTTGCCATTTTAATTTCGACAACATCTGAAACAATCATATAGTCGATGACGATAGAATCTCAATTCCCGCCAAAAATCCCCAATTGCATTAATCACCGAGTCTTTGTCTATTGCTGTAAAATGTGCGCAGATTTTTCCAAGAATGCTCCCACTGGTATAAATACCACGCTAGACAGGCGATACTATTATGGCTGCAGCCAGAATGGGTAGACTCGACCGGGGCAAAACCACGCTCTTATAGAATACCAGCGTAAAATAGCAGCATATTATATATGCAATACTGCTGCGTATGGAGAATGAGATTGTTGAATTGAGATTCGGAGGCCTTTTTTTACTGGCGAAGTAATTCTAATTAGTGATTGCTGATCAGTTATAGATGTGGATGTCTATGGTATTTTATCACTCATCCTTCTATAAAAATAAGCCTTTCCACTTTTTTAATTTTAAGGATTTGAGAAGCGTTGAGTTTTCGCTACAAATTTTGCATAATAATGTTGGTATCTACACACACATTTGATAGGTATAGTTCTTTCAAGATTGGTTTTGTTTGGAGTAAAGTTGTGTGGGTGATCAATTATGACTTATTCAGTGTACTGCGAAAGTGTAAGTATACTATTATAATTTCATTTATGTAAGTAAATTTTTTTTAAATATGAGAGGGGCCAAACGAGCATGCCGTTGCTGCCGCCGCCCATGAACAAAATCCTTGAAAATTTCATCTCACCCACACTTTATTGGCGGCTAAAGATAATATTTATTTTCTGGTATGAAACTAAATGTTATCTTTAAAGAAATAATTTTAATGATTTATTTTCATTGTTAAATGTGAAAAAAAACAGAAATATTTTTTTTTATTTATTACGCCTAAAGATGCTTTTGCAAATAAAATACGTTATTGTTTTTATTTAACGTTATAATACTAGAAATTAATCTTGTATCGCGGAAACGGCCTACATAAATTGTCTATGGTTAAGTAAAAATAAAACTAGATTTTTAGGTTAAAATAAAAGTACTAGGTGAAAAACCAGACCAATTATTTTCGGCCATAAACTGATAATTCAAAATGTATTTTTAGTTTTATTTCACGACTAATAGTTATTTATACACGTATACAAGTACGTGAAACAAATCTGTTTCAACATTTCGGATCCCCTATCAGAGCTAAGACACCAAGCTCGTGTCCCAATGCTCTTAGGTTAAGATTAAAGACAGAACTAAAGTCGGTGGCGGCTATTCGCAAAGATTTGTGTTTATGTAAAGAATTAAAGAATAATCACCGCTTGAATAAATTTTGTAAAGTGAGACAAAGTTTTCCATGGTCAAGCAACCAGTTAAACACTGTTCACGAGGTAATGAATTCCGCAAAGTTTCCACGCCCATCCCAGAATAATTTGGTTACAAGTTAGTGGAATTATTAACTGGGAATGTCCCTTTCGTTCTACTCTTGCCTTCTTTGTTTGTACAGACCATTGGTTCGGTTTCGCCCGCTACATCTGTTTGCTGATTGTAATTGGGTATTTCAGAGTTTAGTCAAATGAGATATTTTTTAAGAGTTGTCGAAGTATTAATTGTTGATATTGTCTCAGTAAAGTTTTAAACAATAAATTAAACTTTATGTTAAGTATATTAATATTATAAAATTTTATTATGAGAGTGCACACCAGATCAGCTTCTCTTTTAATTTGTCCAGTATCAGGCCTGCTGGAAGAAATTTCAATATGAAATAAGCAGTGCCTTTGTACAAAATATCTTTTTTTTCTCTTCCTTGTAACATTATTTTGTGTGTACATAAATTGTTAAATAAATAAATAAATAAATAAAACATGTATATTCTATTTAACAATCAGTTACTTTTTCTAATTTGTGAAAAACCCGGACATCTAAAATTTATTTTATGTATTAAATATAG